AGTTTCCACCCATTGCTTCTTGTCCTGCCCTCAGGTGCTTTGGAGAATAGCTTGACTCTCTCTTAGCAATATCAATAGCAGTTAGACTTATATACTGCTTCGTAGGGTTTTTAGCCCTCTCTAAGTGGTTTACAGTCAGCATATTGCCCACATAGTCTGGGTCCTCATTTTACCCACCTCGGAAGGATGGAAGGCTGAGTCAACCTTTGAGCCGGTGAGATTTGAACCGCTGAACTGCAGCTTAGCAGTCAGCTGAAGTGGCTACAGTACTGCACTCTAACCACTGCGCCACCTCTCTTCTTTGTGGCAGCCCATGAGATATTGGAAGACTGCTATCATGTCTCCCCTAGTCCTTCTTTTCATTAAACTAGACACAACCAATTCCTGCATTTCTTCTTCATACCCTGTTTCCCTGAAAATAAGCCCTCCCTGGCTAATACGCCCGATTGGGCTTTTGAGCGCATGCGCTAAAGTAAGCCCTCCCCCAAAAATAAGCCATCCCCCCAAAATATTGCCACACAGCAGCAGCCATGAGGTGACCACGCTCGCCACCTCCTGCAACTCAAAAACAATAAGACCTCCCTGAAAATAAGGCCAAGCGCTTATTTAGGGGGTCAAAAGAAAATAAGACCCTGTCTTATTTTGGGGAAAACATGGTAAATCAATTATCAGGTCACTTTTAAGATGAGGCAAGCTTTAGTTCAAAGAATGCAGCCATTTTGTGGGGTTCATGAACCAGGCCGTCTTCACAAAATGGCCCCCAGCCGTTCCTTGGATTCAAAGCGGCTTTGCCAACAATACTTACAAGTAGTTTGGTACTGCGAAATAAGGCGTCTTTCTCTTTGGAGGAGAGATCAAAAGGCATCAGCCCCATACTTTGACAAATCCGGTTGCAGGAGTGAGAATGGAAGAACAAGGCCATCCCTCGTACACCTGGGATAGATAAGAGAACCATCCGTGGAAAGAATGAGAAATCGTTTCGAGGTGCAGCGCCTTACATAGAAGCTTAGCGATTTTTCTCAAAGTCAAGATCCATTCCGACAAATCAGCCATCAACAGACACATAGAGATTAACCACATGTGCACATCATTTAAAGGAGGCAATAAAAACAAAAAAACAAAAACTAGATATTTTCCAGCAACCAATAGGCCAGATAAGCAGGGATGAACACCAGACAAACAATCAAGAAGAAAACAATACCCTAATCAAGGAACTGCCAAGGAGAAAACCACACCCCCACCAACGTTGGCAGGGCAGGCTCCTATATATAAACAGGGGGGGGGGAAACCCCCATACCCCCTTGCCCTGATGATGTTACCTAGACAGATAATGAAACGTCTGCAAGCCAACAAGCAAATTTAGAAGCACCACAACAACATCGCAATAGGGGTAGTCCTCAATTTATGATCACAACAGAGCCTCAAATTTCTGTTGCTGAGTGAGGCATTTGTCAACTGAGTTTTGCCCCATTTTACGAGCTTCCTTGCCACAGTTGTTAAGTGAATCACTGCAGTTGTTAAGTTAGTAACGCAGTTGTTAAGCGAGTCTAGCTTTCCTGTTGACTTCGCTTGTTGGAAGGTCGCAAAAGTTGGACACTGCAACCGTCATAAATATGAGTTGCCAAGTGTCTGAATTTCTATCAAGAAATCTTCTATGGAGATGCCGCGAGAATCGTTAAGTGTGAAAAACAGTTGTAAGTCCCTTTTTTCGAATCATTGCTAAATAACCTGTGGTAAGTTGACGACTACTTGAGGTCATCCATTCTCATCAGCACATCTGGCCCATGTTTAAAGATTCTTTCTACCCAGAACTGAAACTGATCCCCTTCTCCATTCCCCAATCCCTGAAGAAGTTCAGCGCCCCCCCCCCCAAAGGACAAACAATCGCTCTGTTTTTTTACCGAGATTCCCGTCTCCAAAATCTGTGCCGCTTTCGGTATGGATCTGAGGATCTGTGTACAGGTCTCCAACCCCTTGGATGTCCACAATGATCAGCTGGTGCCCGGAGCGCTCGAAGGTGAAATGGCTGAAGGCCTACAAGAGAACGGACGTTGCATCAGCCCGACGGGGAGGGAAAACCAGATCAGCTTCTACAGGGAGTATCTGTCCTCGCTCGGGGTCAGGGCCAACGACTTTTCCCCAAACCCAGTTATTCCAAAACTAGCCTGCGCAAGGTTGAACGGCCGAAGTGGTGATACATTGGCTAAATAAAACTTTTAAGCGTTGCGGAGTTTTGAAAAGGGAAACCGTTTCTGGACTTCTTGCCCGATAAACGTTCTCTAAACACAAATACAAGGCCATCTTGTTTTTATTTGTATGGGTGACTTTTGGTGGCTGCCTGCACTGTGTGTGTGTGTGTGTGTGTGTGTGTGTGTATCTGATAACACAGCTGTCAGGCCTGCAGTTATATCCCTTTTAGGATCTTTGGCCTGCCACACTCTCTCTTATTTCATTATGCTGTTTGATTAGTGTAGTAGTTGGGAGGGGGGAATAGNAACTGCCTCTCCTTTAAACTCCATCCCCAGGTGTGCCTTGTGAATGGAATCACGGCTCTTTCCTTCCTCGTAAGCTACGCAATCCCCATTGCTCTTTTCTGCCTTCTTCCCTGAGTGCCCTAGGATGAGGAGGGGGTGGGCCTTGATCTTCATCTGAACCCGCTCTCCCTTGTTCTACCTCTCCCTTGCTCTGCCCAGCCTGACTTTGCCGTTCCTGTTTCCTCCGCAGCCAACAGATCCACTCTCTCACTCTCTGTCACTGTCAGTCTTCCATCTCAGTCTCTGACGGGGGCATGACAGGTACATGGTACGGAGTCTCAAAGGAGCTTATGTGGCCACTCTGGGCTACAACTTTAAAAACATTTAAAAACCACAATGCCGGAGCACACTCCCAAGTTCTGGAGTTGTTTGCCAAGAGCCGAAAACAGCCGAGGAGAACAACAAGCCGAAAACCCCAGAGACAGAATAAAAATCCATGCAGAATCACCCTTTTGTTCCTGAAAGTCGGTTTAGCTCTCTCAGACAGTTTATTTCTCTAATAATTGGAAAGAGAAATAATTAAAAGAGGGAAGGAAGAAGAAAGAAGAGTCAACCACGGGTGAAAGATTCTTCAGCAATTCAGGGGAAATTAAACAGATGGCTCAGTGGCTAAGACGCTGAGTTTGTCGGTCAGAAAGGTTCGAATCCCTAGCGCCGCGTAACGGAGTGAGCTCCCGTGACTTGTCCCAGCTTCTGTCAACCTAGCAGTTTCTAAAGCACGTACAAAATGTAAGTAGAAAAATAGGGACCCCCTTTGGTGGGAAAGTAACAGTGTTCCGTGCGCCTCCAGCATTGAGTCATGCCGGCCATATGACCACAGAGACATCTTCGGACAGCGCTGGCTGTTTGGCTTTGAAATGGAGATGAGCACTGCCCCCTAGAGTCGGGAACGACTAGCACATATGTGCGAGGGGCACCTTTACCTTTAAGCAACTTTGGTGATCGGGCCATCTGGTGCAAAGTAAACCCAAAGTGATTTCTGGGGTGGGGGGGTGGGGATCGGATTTATTTACCCGAGCAGAACTTCCCAAGCTGTCTTCATCAGATTCGTGTCTCCGGTTGCAGTTAGGATGACCCTAAGAAAAAAGAAAAGAAAAAAAAGAACAATTTAATTCAGGTTTGGAGGAATAGCATTTTTAAAAGCTTCGTTTTCTTTGGGGGGGGGGGGAGGATAGTTGACCAGTGTTACGAAGAGAATAACTTAAAAATGAAGTAAGTTACCATATTTTTCGGATTATAAAACGCACCTGACTATAAAACGCTCCTAAATTTAGAAGAGGAAAACAACAACAAAGGATTTTGACCTGTACACGCCTCATTTTCGGCCTTTTTTGGGGGGGGGGCTTTTTCCCTCCTTTTCCAGCCTTTTTTTCTACCCATTTTCGAGGCCTTTTTTTGGCTCATTTGTTTTGGAAAAACGGGCCGAAAAAAGCCTCAAAAATGGGCCAAAAAAGGCTTCAAAAACGGGCTGAAAAAAGGCCTGAAAAAGAGGTGTACGGAGACCAAAAAATGGCCAGCAGGTGGGTGGGGTTTCAGCAATATTCGGTCTATAAGATGCACAGACATTTTCACCCCCTTTGGAAAGACAAAAAAGTGCATCTTATAGTCCGAAAAATACAGTAAATATTTAAAGGATCGGAACAGGCTTTTTTGTGTTCCTATTTTTAAGCCAGGCTATATCTATCTATCTATCTATCTATCTATCTATCTATCTATCTATCTATCTATCTATCTATCTATCTATCTATCTATCTATCTATCTATCACC